TACTACTACTACTACTACTACTACTACTACTACTACTACTAGTACTACTACTAGTACCACTACTACTACTACTACTACCACTACTACTACTACTGCTGCTACTGCTGCTGCTACTACTACTACTACCTACTACCTACTACCTACTACCTACTACCTACTACCTCTACTACTATTACTACTACTACTACTGCTACTGCTACTACTGCTACCTGCTACCTGCTACCTATTATGACAAGAATACAAGAACAATAACAAGAACTACGACAAAGACTACGACTACTGCTACTCCTTCTAGAACACCATTAAAATACGACAACAACCACTACTTCGATACTACAACACGATCACACCAGAAGACGAGTTTTTGGCTAGAACGGTGTCTATGTCCAGGTTCAACTTTTCCACACTTCCTCATCTCTTTCTAAGTTTGAAGAAAGGATCATAAAGGAACCTTCTGGAATCTTCTGGATATATTCTTGATATGAATCATTAATTGCTGCAGGGGGGAAGGTGTTGCCAGGGCAAATGTACGACGAAGCAGACGGAGATTGGTCGTAAATGCTGGAACTAACTGCTTTGGCCAATGTGCTGATTGGGAACATAGATCAACCCCCCCTGTGGGCGAGGGTTGAGTCCCATCTTTCGTGATTTGCACTCCCACTTGTCGTGAGATCTCAGAACTGCAGCATGAGGAAGACTCAGAGAAATACATATTTGAAGACGACCAAAACGTACCAAAACTATTTGACAGAAACAGTCACAGACTTCAGGACCAGTCCAAAACCTTGGCTCCATGAGGAAACCGCTCGTCCAAGTACAAAATAAGCTCAGCTCACAGCCGCGTGGACCGTGTGTTCTTACGCTCCGGGTCGGTCTGCACTCCCCGTGGCGGCGCACGAGATGCGCAGCTCGTTCGGAGCTGCCCATGGAGTGGTGGCTGCCCATACGTCTTTCCGAAACTGTCACGGAAGACAAGGTTCCCTCACATGTTGAAGTGAAAAAAGAGACTCCCTCGCAAGACCTTGGCGCCGCGGCCGCCCCGGCTTCTCTTGACTGGTTGCCATGACAGGCAGGAGAGTCCTAAGAGCAAACCCTGCCAACATGCGCCTGACGCGATTCACCCATCAACCACAACTTCGAGGGTCGCCAGATTGCAGGCAGGAAGAACCAAACACCTGGCTTTGCAGCTTGCAGCTTTCCATGTCTTCAAACCAATGAAGTATCTTCAAGCCAATAAGGTAGTTCCAAGCAGGGGCTTGTCAGCCCGACTCTGGCAGACACAGGAGCCACACCCTTGGGTCTTTATCGTAGACACTTTCTCCAGATGGGGCAAGCAGCTTGCAGATGTGGAGTCGTGCTTGATAGCGGTCGGTTGGGCAGAGTTCGCACAGTGGAGCTTGGAGTCAGTGGACAACGGCCCGCCGGAGCCGGGTCAAGTGGAGAACGACCAGGGGGCCGGGGCAACTGGTTGTTGGGAAGAAGCCGATTTTTCTGTTCATGTGAAGTATGTGGTCTAGATTTTCCAAGTTCTCCACTGTGGATGTCAACAGAGCTATCTATCATGACGGTTGGAGTCTACCATTCGTTGCCAATAAGGATGGTGCAACAAGTTAGAAGGTGTGCCAGTTGAGGGCTCTCAACCTCCGTCAACAGGGCGTTTAAAGGCGTCTCTAATTCGAACGTGTCTCAGCGCCTAAGCGTCTAAGCGCCCAAGCCAATCCGGCCATTGAGCTCCTAAGCGCCTAAGCCCAAACAAAGTCGAGCCTAAGCGTCCAAGGTCCTAAGCGTCTAAGCGCGCGCCGAAGCTAATGACGGCGGTTAGAGGCTTAGAGGCGTTTAGAGGCTTAGGGGCTTTTAGAGGCTTAGAGGCGTTTAGAGGCTTAGAGGCGGTTAGAGGCTTAGAGGCGTTTAGTGGCTTAGAGGCGTTTATATAGAGGCTTAGAGGCGTTTAGAAGCTTAGAGGCGTTTAGGGGCTTAGAAGCGTTTAGAGGCTTAGGGGCGTTTAGAGGTAAAGAGGCGTTTGGAAGTTTCGAAGCCTTTAGCACCTAGAGGTGTCTACAGCCTTAGAGGCATACAGGAGTCTCAACGCAACACTAACACATGTGTCCTTCGAGGCGTTTAGAGACGTCTGTAGTTCGAAAGTGCCTCAGCGCCTGACAACCTCAGCACCTAACCAAGCGTCTAAGCGCCTAAGCCATTGAGGCTTAGAGGCTTAGAGGCGTACACGAGACTGTGACAGGCTTAGAGGCTTAGAGGCGCCTGGAGAAGGAAGAGACACTAAAAGGCTTAGAGGCTTCTATCAAATAGGAACCCCCGCTCCCGCTGCCATGCACTGTTACAGGTAATAGGATAGACCCAAATTATATGTATCAAAGGAAATGTTGGCACAATCTGGGGGAGGACTCGTCCAGGGAGTGGTGGGGAAGCAAAAAATCACCTAAAAAGAATGGCCAAGACGCCGGCAACACGATGTAGCATAGAAGAAATTCCAAAGAAGCGACCCTTCATGAATGAATAGACCCCTCAAAAGACATATACATATATAGGAATTAGCAGCACCTAGGAATGTAGTGTAGCGAATGAGTAGGGATGCGATGTTATATCATAGTTAGTTAGCTAGTTAGTTTCTCGTTTGTCTCTAGTGTTTTGCTATCAAGCCTTGCCCACCCTCCCCTGGGGGGAGGGGGTGTAGGGACATGCCTGGAAAATGGCATGGGAGAAAGTCCCTCGAAGGTCCCACGAAGGGGACCTATATAGAGGGCGAGGTTTACGATGATGGAGGCGACCCACAAGGCACAGTGGTCTTGTGGGTGAAGCGCCTGTTCGCCCCGGGAGAGACCGGGAGGACTTTGCATGGGGACGTGGTGACTGCTACCGATCCATATTACAGATGGTGGCTTGCGAGTCCAGACGGGGCAGTCACCACGGTGGACGGAGCATATCATATATGCAAAGGTCCTCCCGCCGAATGTAAGGGCGGAACAGGAGAACATGTGGTCCACTTAGGCAAGTGGCGACAGTGGAAGGAAGAAGAGCTCGTTGACAACACCGGAGGGATCCTAGATGAGGATACGCATGGACATGCGCAGGCATATTTCAAAAGAGTCCCAAAGGAAGGGCCAGGCGCTGGAGGAGCTGGTGATTTGCCCTGGGATGACCCAGGTGATGATGAAGAGGATGGAGAGGAAGAGAAAGGGAAGAGCGCGCCAGGGCCGTCCGGGAAGGAAAAGGCTGCAATGAAGAGAACGACAGAGAGGAAAGGGTCGGAAGAAGAATTGGTGAAGAAAAAGAAAAGGCTGACAGAGTTGGCCAGAGACCTCAAAGCCCTGAAGGCGGAGGTGAAAGCAGCTGAAGTCACCGAGGAAGAGAAGAAAGGTGCAGGCAAGAAGGAGAAGAAGGGACGGAAAAGAACGAAGAGTGGAAAGGGAAGCCCTCCCTTTTCAGGTGAGATGCGAGGAAGCGCGCTTAAGGTGAAGACTAGCCCGGAACCCGGTGGATCGTCTTCGGAGCCGGATTCCGATGAGGGCTCATCCTCTGACAAGAGTTCAGGGCGCAACCAAAAGCGAACTTCAAGAAGCAGGGGAAAGAAGAAGCAGAGGAGCAAAGGACGGAGTTCTCCTTCAGATCCCTCCAGGTCACGGAGCCGAAGGAGGCAAAGCCACAAGAAAAAGAAGAGAGGCAAAAAGAAGAACAAAAGGCCGAAAGACAGAGGGCCCTTTGGAGTGGCCGAATCAGATGAAGATCCCGACAGATCGGAAGCCGAGGATGATTCGGAATCGGATTTTCAAAAGGCCCCCGCGGGGATGACGCTGTTTCTGAAGTTGCAGCGTTACGCTCAGCGGCACCCCGGCCGGCTCGCGGCCCGTCTCCTCCATACCATGGGGGTAGCGGGGCGCGTCCCCGTGGGGGCCTTGCGACAAAAGGGGAAGAGCATTCTCAAAAACATCGAGGCAAACGCAGTGTCCTACTA